GCTCCACAAATATAGCACTCTAAATATTCAAAATCTCAAGACACAAAAGCTGCCACTAACTTGCTGGTGTACATGTATATATCAGCCAGAATTCATAGCTTTTTTTCTTGTTGTCTTCTTTACACAGACAGGAGAGCCTCTAGATATACCCAGATGGTTTGTATTTCATGTGGGCAAGCAAGCAGAGAGCTGTGAAGTGCCATTTACTAGTAAATAATTTATTCTATTGCCCAATTCAATACACTGGCTTTGCTTTTGTGTGCATTTAAGTGTAGTAAGTGTAATTTCACTTGGGATATGAACTTTTAAAATAAGTTTTCAGGTGAGATCTTTTTCGTCTCTCTGGATTTACTTTAGCTAAGGAATTATAATGTGTGTCAATTATTTTTAAATGGGTTCAAGGACAGCATAGAATAGACCCTAACACTAAGACATGTAACTAGGCTATCAGAAGCATCACACAAGGGGACCCCATTACCTAGTTGGACCTCCTTTCTCCTGTCCAGCAAGTCAGTGGAAGAAGAGGTCACAGATAATCAGTAACAAATCATTCTAACTCATTTCAGAGCTGAGTTACAAATCATCTAATACTGTGTTCTTCCTGTTATACCATCTAGTAGCATGTTCAAAATATCAGTCACTTTTGTAATCAATCACAATAGGGACATGAGAATCACAAGTAACATAAAGAGAAATTGCTGCCAAGTCTAGCTTTTGAAATAAAGGTTCTTGTGCTTAAAGAAACTAGCCATGAGCCAGGCGCTCACATGCCTGTGGCCTGTGATCCTAGCTATTCAGGAGGCAGCGATCAGGAGGATCAAGGTTGGAGGCCAACTGGAGCAAATAGTTTGAGACCCTATCTCAAAAAAACCCATCATACACACACACACACACACACACACACAGGGCTGGTGGAGTGGCTCAAGGTATAAGCCGTGAGTTCAAACCCGAGTACTGCAAAAAAAAAAAAAAAAAAAAAAAAAAAAACCAACCAACCAAAAAAAAAAAAAAAAAAAAAAAACAAAGGAAAGAAAGAAACAGTATACCCTAAAGTGTCACCTGCCTATTTTATTGGTGATTGATAAGAACTTCAAAGAGGGAATCAGGTTTTATTTTCCCAAAATCCTGTCTGATACCAGGTACAATAAAATACTTTACCTGCATTTGCATGGGAAATTGTTTTTTTAATTTATTTTTTGTGGTGCTGGGGATTAAACTCAAAGCCTTGTACATGCTTAGCTCTACCACTAAGCTACATCTTAGTCTGTCTTTCCTTCCTTCCTTCATCTCCCCCTTCTTCCTCCTCCTCCTTTTCTCTCTCTCTCTCCCCCTCCCTCCCTCCCCCTCTTCTCTTTTTCTTTCTTTGAGACAAGGTCTTGTAAGTGTCTTAGCTTATAGTTTACACTGGCCTCAAACTCGTGATCCTCCTGAGTGCTAGGATTACAGTTGTATACCAACATGCCTGGCCCCATGAAAAATGTTTTCTATTTTTACAGAAAAACAGAAGTTTATTCTTATTCTTAAACTCCTTCAGAATAAACTGATATTTAAAAAACTATTTGGATACCAAGAACAATTCAATTCTTACTTTATCAAGAAAAAGAAATTGAGTAAACATGTAATAGTGGGTTAATATATTAAAAGATCAGTAACAAAAATGGAAAGCGTTAACATTTTTAGCATTAATTACTGGTGCAGAACTATCTCAGAAAGCAAGAGAGCATTTATAATAGTATTTCTTCAGTGGAGCTTGGCAAGATCGACCTAAAGGTTTTATCAGACTCTTCTCTATAAATAAATGTTCAGCTATTTACATCTTTGGTTTATTCCTCCATGTTTCACTCAACAAGTAGCTATTGGAAGCGGTCTATGTGCACTGCAACATTTCAGTTGTGGGAGTCACAAAGATAATAGTTTGCATTTTACAAAATGTTTTCACATTTCAATTTTGTACTCACACCAAAACTGTGACATTCTAATGGTACACTGAAGTTTCAACTCATTTTCTTAAAACTTCTTTGTTAGGAACTATGGTTGCTGTATTTTTATCAGCAGGCAAATTCACTGATTCCAAGTCTTCTATCTATTTCTATCTATAAAAGCTTTACGTACAAATGGGAATTTGGGCTGAAAAATTTAAAGTATTTATGCAGGAAGACTAAAGAGCATGTATCAGCTCAAGGGAAACTGGTGTGAAAGCCACAGAAAACAGGTGTTTTTCAACTGGGAATGGAGACTTTTTTCTTACAGTCTTCTTGTGTTTTTGGTAAAACTTTTAGCCATTGTGAAACCTGTTGAATACCTTTCTTATGAACTAACCTAGTGTGTTTATAAGTCTAAATTAGATATGTAGTACTAAAATTGTTGGAAAATATTGCAGAGACATACAAATGTTCTGGGAGTCTGCCAGCTCACCAACAATAGCAAACAAAGGAAGTCTGATGGGGTCTTAGAGATCCCACAGCCTGTATTAAGACATTCAACCAGTCAACTGTCCAGGTCAAAAACTCTATGGTAAAGGCTCTGATGAATAGAGGTAGGGCTGAGTTTGCCCACTACAATCTCAAACACAGATTACATTGCTCTGTGAGAACAGAACATGCTTCTAGAGGGCCAATCGGACAAGGACAAATCCGTTGCTTTTTCTGCTGCCTCTTTTGAGTGCATTTTTAAGTTTCTGACCCTTAGAAGTGGCCCTTGCTTTCTCAAAGCCTAATTGCAAGAATATATAGAACAACAACAACAAAAAGGGTCATTTGTCATTCTGACAATTCTCAATTCCTTAGATTAAATGCTCTATTTTCAGGTACCCATATTTCATAGCAGTTTTCTTTTTAAACATGTCTTTGCTGCAGCAGTTTAGAGGGAAATTAGCAAAACACTCCTTTTCAAAACACTGTTTCAGTTAATTTTATTAGAAAAGTTATTTTTCAAACATTGGTTTGGTTAAACTACTATATTCTTAAAATTATCTATCTATCATCTATCTATCTATGTATCTACCTACCTACGTACCTACATATAATTGTGAGTTAAAATATTTTAATAATGCTTTTTTGAATAGGTACATCTCCTGTAATTTATCTAGCTATACTACTTAATAGTTAAACTTCAAACATGATGTATAACGAGTTTATATTAGTGAAAATAATCGTGATGTATTTTGATTAATTAAAAACTTCTATTCTTTAAAACAATGCTTTCCCATTGTATTCACAAGATTGGCCTGCCAACTCAACCTCTACTTCCAACATCTGATGATTCTTGACTATGCTTGAAATTCTCAGAAGACATTTTTTAAATAGAGAAATATGTCTTCTTGGTGTACTATCATTTAAAAAAGAGAGTAAAAGAATCTAAATTTGTTTCAGCTATCCCATATCAACTCCACCGATGGAGTGTGTCCTGATCTCTAACTCTTGAAGCTTGATTACATTTGTGGGTCCTAAGGAGACCATCATGCCTGCTGCAAGAAGTTCGTGTGTCAGTAGAAACCACACAATGAACTTTGTGCAATGCCAATTCCTGGAACAAATAAGAACACTCTCAAAAATGGCCTGCAGAGCAGAGCTTGAATCCTAGACTATACTAAAAACTTATTCCTCTATTTTTCCTTCCTGCTTTCAACTAAAGTGAAACCCTATCCATGCCACCATCGTCTCCTGAGGATCTTATAATCAGAGCAGCTCTCCTGCCCAGGCTCATCTGATGATAGCACATTTTCTGTGCTCGTTTCCCCCTCTTTGGCAATATAGCCTGCTATCACTTTGAAAGCAGTGCAAAGGAAGTGCTTTCCATTAACTTCCAATTTATTCCTTTCCTATTGCGATCCTAAAATGAGTAAAAGGAATGTTAAGAACAGAATTTTAATGTAATTCAATTGAAAAGGTTTGTTCCTCTGACAAAATCATGCTGCTGGGTAACATTCATTTTTTAAAAAGAGAATCTGTCAGAAAAGAAAAGCAATTCGAGCTACAGGAGAACTCAGCTTTATGTGTAAGATCCATTCCAGAGAAGTTGTACAGCAAATATTTATATACCGAATCACTTTTTCTACTGAGTTTTGTTGTAATTTTGGAGGTGTGCTTCTAGAGAAAATACTTTTGCTTCAGCATATCATTGTGAAAATCATACTAAGGAACTCAGTATTCATTCCCAGGACCATTTTGCATTTGTCAACATGCCATGTTGGTACATCTAATTTCCCCTCGTGGCTTGTGCAATGCTAGACAAGTGAACAAGCAACCGAAAATGATTTTACACATATATTCACTGTAAAGTACATGCACCATAAAATATACAACAGCCAATTTTCATTTCACTCCTGTTCACCTTACAAATGTGATAGTTCAGATAACATATTTCCTGGGACACCACTCCACTTACTTTATTAGAAGACCCTGGCTGAATAAGCCTCCTACATTTTCATATGCTTTCAGATGGTACCAGCATTCCTCATTTGTATTTAGTTGTAAGGGTCTTTTAAGTGTGGTTTAGCTTTTTCTATAACTGATTATAAAAAGTTAAGCCCTCTATTTGATAAGAATAACATTTGTAGAGTAGATGCAATCAGCAAAGTTCACTGAAAATATTTAAGTTTTTCGTCAGTGAAAGCTCCCAGTCAGCTTTGTCAAGTGGGCAAATTGAAACTCAAAGGGATTATGCCTAAAACCAAAACTACAGTTCATTTTTTGAGAGATTTTCTGCTAATATACACAAGTCTGTCTGAAGCAAAATGTTAATCCCTAAGGAGGATAAATTTACCCTGAAGGTAAATGAAACTTGATCTTCAGGGATTCTTAACTTGCCTGAGTCCCTTCTAATACTCTGCATCTAATTTTTTATGTCACAATTTGTCTTTTTTCCCCCTCAGAGACGCATCCAAGAAATATAGAAGCCCTAGGCCCTCAAGAACATGCTTCATTCAAGCTCTTAAGATTATATTATTATTAACACAGATTACATTAGTATAACACAGAGTAAAATTTTCATATACTTACTCAAAAAATGTTGTCCATCCAGTTTCATCACTTTTAGTGGCTAAAAGTCCACTGTTGCCATGGTAAGTAAATAAGACTAATTCTAGTCCTTGAGCTGTCATGCTTTTCAAACATCCATTTGTTCCTATGGTCAACCATATCACTTGGTTATCTGGAGACACCACCCTCACGGGCATCCGATTTGGATCCCGTCTAATTCTGAGGGTATTGCCATTGCTGTCTGTCACAGCAGTAATATCGTTGTCATTGCTGTAGCTGAAATTGTACAGGTAATCACCAGTGACTAAACTCACAGTATACTGGTGAGTACCATTGATGTCAAAGATGTAGAGTTCTTGATCAGTTGGAGAGGCAACTTCATAGAAGTGCATGGAGTTAAGTAAAGGCTTATTCTTTGACACAGCCCGGATCCTAATATTCCCCAGATCTGCAATGTACAGTGTACCATCTGGAGAAGCAGCTAAAGAGGATGGAGCATTAAGTTTGGCATCTTTGGCATAGCCATCTCCACTCTGATAACAGTCACAGTTGGCATCATTTTTGCAGTCACATTCTGAAGGTATTCCAGCCACCAAGGAGATTTCCCCATCTGTTGTGACCTGCCTTATTCGGTTAATTTTCTTTTCATCGGTTTCAGTAATGTACAGGACCCCACTGTATGACACAGCAATGGCAGTGGCTGATTCCAGTGTTGTCTGAACTGCTTGCTTCCCCACAGGATATTCCACTCCAGGAACCTGGCAATGCATGGGCCGTCCAGCGGCAATGCGAACTTGACGGTTTTCAGTGATCTGTAGAACTACATTATTATCCAGGACATAAATGGAGTTATCCATAGGGTTAATGGCTAGGTCAGTGGGCCATTCCAGACGTACCTTAATAAACAATGAAATGGTCTGGTTAGTCAGTTACTGTACTACACTCAATTTGCCAGAAGAGTAAATTAGACCATTCAGGGAAATTAGCCTTAATTTGACAAACTGCTTTGAGACTGTTTTTTTCAATAGCCATAGTAAAATAAACATAAAGTTTTTGAGTGGACAAAAATGTAGAAAATATGCTATTTTTAAAAAGATCTGCTACTTACAGCCAAATAGCAAATGAACTTCTTTGCAGTCAGTCAACAGATATCGCTGAGATATGAATACATATGTTCCTCATAGCAGTACGAACTGCTAAACAATAGGGTTTTCTATGTTACGAATACATTAGTATTCTACTGTGTTTTCAACTGGGCCAATAGAAAAGTTTCTAATTTTAATTGGAAGTCCCTTGGGACCAATCACATTGTGTTTTCTCTACTACTCAAGGAGCCCAGGCAATCAAAAGATTAGGGATTTAAGCTGTTCTGTTCTTTTTGGGATAGCTGCATGCTGCTACTTTACTGGTATTTTATGACAAATGATTAGCATTTCTTAGTGATAATTGTTCTGTATTTCACTGAATTCATGAAATGCAGAATTACAGAAGAAAATAACTTTTATTAGCTTCTGAGATTCATTTAAATGGAACAGCTTTATCGTAACTACTGTCACACATGAAATACGTGGTTTAATATGGTGCCATAACAGTCTGCTGACATAGCAAATCAAGTCACTTAGAAGAAAAACAAACAGTTTGGCATAATATTTTAACTACCTGGCTGATGTGCATGCTAGTGTCGCAAGTTAAAGGTCTGGCTGACGTCAGATCATTAGAGCCCAGGAGAGTTGATATGATTCCATTTTGATCGACTTTTCTAATCATGGTTCCATCAACAAAGTAGATTAATCCATTCTTATCAATTGCCATTCCTTTATCCAAGAGAAGTAAATGTTATTAATTTTTCTAAAATGATTTATTTTCGATTAAGCTTTTAGGCCCATCAGTAAACTTAACATTTAACCCAAGTGAAAACATGGGTAAAACTACCAATTGTAAAAGCATTAGGAAAAAAACCCAACATAGGCATTTACATACAGTACAAATGAATTAAAAATGAAATAAGGAAAGAATCCAAATTTGCAAAAACCTCCAGTGAGTACATGAATAACTTAGGTAGTACCTGTACATTTTAAATATAAAATGATAATGTTTATAATAATAGTATGTTCTGTAAATTATAGAAACAAGTTTGAATTCTGTTATAGTCAACTTATAGCAATGGTATTCTAACAAAAATAGATCTTAACCAAGGTTAGTGTTTTGTTGACCTTCTTACAATGAAATTTGCTATTATGAATAATTCAATACAACAAATACTTTTTTTCTAGTCTTTGTTCATGGTAGCTGTAATGACAAAAAAAAAAAAAGGCCTCAAACCAAGAAACATTGCACAATACATAAGCAAGAAGTCAATCCTTACTGCTGTAAAAGCTTTTATCACATAGAATTTTAGCCCGTTACCTACAAAAATTCCTCATGGCAAACACTTTTTCCCATGGCATAGAAACAAAAGTTTAACAGCTCCGAAGTGGGTGAGAGCTAACAGGGTTGCTTAGTGATGGTTTTAAAGAGGCCTGGGACCCATTCATGACAAAGAAATGCCAGACAATGAAAGAATCTGAAGTTTAACAGAATGTGACCTGAATAATATAGAGTAGTTGCTTCATTCTTTGAAAAGGTGAAAAAAATGGAATGATGATAATGCCAAGAACCTAATATTTACTGTAAAATCAACTTAGGAATCTAGCAATTTCACACTAAATGGCTTTTTAAAAAACACTAGATTGAAACCACTTTCTAAAATACAGCTGAAGGTAAAATGTTAGACTCAGCATTAAACACAATCAGGCACAAACTGGATTTTCTGCCTTTTTTTTTTAATAAAAAGAAATTCTAACATTGATAACTGCCAGTACCTTTGGGGCTCATGAGTGTTGCCTCCACAGCCTTCCCTCCGTCCCCACACCTGGCTTCATCGAATGGAAGGCACTGCTCTCCTGTCCCAGCAACCACTTCAGCATTTTTAGTCAAGTCTTTTGCTCCCGTGAGTGACTTTGGGCGGTAAATTCTTCGGGTGTTAGTGTCAGAAACATACAAATCTCCCTTGACTGGATCAGTTGCAAGGTAATATCTATGGGCTGGGTTACTACTGTAAAAAAAAATCATACATGAAACACTTACTCCAAATATACAGAAAGAAATTAAGTAAAATAAGACAGATCATGAGAACTGATTATAAACTGGAACACATTATCGGAGACTGGAAAATGAGTAGTATGTTTAATAATGATTGAAGAGAATGTGATACCAGGTAGCAATTCTTTGATATAGCTGTTTTCCTTCCTCACCCTGTGCTAAGGATTAAACAATTTATTAATAGCTATTCTTAAAAATAATTACCCTTAGAGGCAAGTTCTCTAACTCTTTCTTGGCTCAATGAGAGGCCACTAATATATTGTCCCTGGAGGACAGAAAGTTTCTTCCAGGGGAAAACTATCTCCAAAATTCTCCAGTGAAGTATAATATACTGCCAACTGTATTCATATCTCATCACAGGGAATTATCTCTTTTCTTTTTGCTATAAAACCAAACCAAACTAAGTGTTTTCTCCTGAAAAAATGCAGCACTGTGTCCATCTCAGTTGCTGAATCATAATGCAGAAAAGCAATCTGACAGTTACGATGTGTAGACCAGTGGGTTCCATGCTACGATGAGATCATCACATGTAGAAGGCAGTGTCAGAACGCCCCAAACAGCAATGTGACTTTTCAATTTGGAAACTGAGCTGCTCTGTAACTTGTCTATTAATTTGTGAGGTGCAGACATTTGTTCACAAAATACAGTGCTTAAATTTTATAAATATAAAGCAATGTGAATGTAAAACATTTTGTCTGATTACCTATAAAATTGATAAGACCAATATTATCAAAGAATGAACACATTATGACATATAGTTGGAATTAAAAAAAGTTAAAACTCCTTACAAACACTAAGTACTGTATTCTTTTGTTTTGTTTGTTTGTTTTTTGGTGGGTCTGGGGTTTGAGCTCAGGGCTTCACACTTGCAAAGCAGGTGCTCTGATGCTTGAGCCACGCCTCTAGTCCATTTTGGTTAAATTAGAGATGAGGTCTCATGAACATTTGCCTGGGATGGCCTCAAACTGTGATCCTCCTGATCTCAGTCTTCCAAGTAGCTAGGATGACAGGCATGAGCCACCAGTATCACGCCCTGAACATTGCATTCTTCAGAATTAATACAATTCTATGCCATGTACAAAATTTGCCTTCCAAAAAAAAGCAGTAAAAATAGTTTAAATGATTTGATTTTCCAACAAAGATGGTAACTGATAGGAATCTAGTAGACTGCATGTATTGATCCATTCCCATGTTCTGTCTCTCTCCTCCTCCCTCTTCTCCTCCTTCTTTCCACAGCCAGCCAGACACACAGTTATATTCATGTTTCCATGTATTTTAAATGTGAACATATAAAATATGTGTATTAACCTAAATCTGTATGAGCATTTAAATTCTAGTAGTGATATGTAGAGTAGTTTTATCATTACTAATTAGGTTAGGTTCTAATAATACAATCATCACTACTTAATATAAGTGCTGAATATATGTACTTTTTTGTCCGTATAAGACATTTACTCTTAAATAACAGGTTATAGTTTCCACTAGTGTGTGTCACATTGGTAGAAGAGGGTAGCAAAGCATATAGAGTCTGTAGAGATGTTCTGCAGCTCTAAAAGACTCTACGGTTGTGATGCTGATATACAGAGAAATACAAACTGAACACTTTCCATTTCTGGGTCTCCTTTATGGCCTTTAATATCTTTTAGAGACAAGAGAGAGAAGAGCAGGAGGTTTTAAGTGTGTAAATATGTGTAAAGAAGTATGGTTGGAAGAACTCATACAGATATGTGTTATGTAATAAAAATGTTTCAGAACTACTGGGTAATATCAAATGATCAACTTGCCATGCTAAATGTTATTATATCATTTTCCAAAGTTGAAGTCTAAAAATTTAAATGCAACAACACAGATTATATTCTTGAGTAGATTCTTTTTGGTGGTTGTAGGTCTTGAACTCAGGGCCTCATTCTGCTAGGCAGGCACTTTACCATTTGAACCATCCACCAGCCCATACATTGTATTCTTTAGTGTGGTAGTTTATTACTTTGTAATGTAATGAAGAGTCACATATTAATATACCATTCAGTGCAGTGTTACAGTTGTGTGTTTCTACCAACAATCTGATATTGACAGAGACAGTCTTTCAGGTGTATGTTGCTGGTCACAGAGGGACAGCTCAATCAAGTTGGGACTATTTTCAAACATGCTGACATTGGAGAGCTGTCTCAAGCCTTGCCTACCTCCCTGATTTTATAAGAATACTTGTGCAGTTGGTTATGAGTTTGTTTTTCTTATCAGTTATACATCTATGAGCATAAGCTCTGGTCAGATTGCCTGGACTTGAATCCCAGCTTCATCACTTATTGAATGTGTGATCATGGGCAAGTTACCTCAGATCCCTTATTGGTAACAGCAATGGTAGTAATAAAAGTTTCAGAAGATGCTGAGAGGATTACCTGAAATAAAAATTCATGTAAAATTCTTAGAATAGTGCCTAGCCCATAATACATATTCAATAAGAATTAGCTATTCTTAATATTTTCTTTTGTTTTGTTTCCTTTAACTTTTCAATAAGTCTTTGGCCTTCTAATTCCGTAAAGTATATGAATACAATAATTACTCTAAACTAAAGTTGACTTGCTTCCTGAAAAACGATAAAAAAAAAATTTCTGAAGCTGGATAGATTCAATTTTCCCCTTATTTCTGCTGTTATAACAGTTGTTTATAATAACCTAAATTATTAAAATAATGAAGATCATCTTAAAATATCCACTTTAAGTTATTTCAAGAGTATTGATGATAAAGGTAATTGAATCTCATATATTTTTTCATGATATCACTTTGAGTAAAAACCAGATTTTTGAAGTGGCTGCTTAAATGGTGGTGGCACACTCTTTAGCCATGGGACGTGAGATTTCCTGGAGCAAAATCAGTAGACATTCATGGCATATGCTGGGTCTTGCTTGATTGGCACCAGTGTTATTCCAGCAGGCTGATAATAAGAGAATGTCTAGGGTGGTGCACATGCTTGATTGTGTCCTGTCATGATGCATCTCCTTTCTTGAAGACACAGACATTTCTAAATTAAGCAATATGTGCCCACGGCTTTACAAATGTCTACCAAAGAAAAGCTCTGATTTTATGCACAACTCTGTTGCTCAGAAGAACAAATATGGAGGAACATGTGGCCCCAGAGAAGAGAATTAGCCTCTGGAAATGAAAACTGGGTAAATTCCCTGTGGTGCAGCCTAGTGTGGCAAATTTAGAGCTGGTTCTTGGATTTTGGGCTCCCTAAGTAAGAAGGATCAGAACTTCAGTAAAAGAAAAAAAAAAAGTGAGCTTGGAAATTTTTAGTTGACAGACTGGTGGCAAAGGAATTGTGAATTACATATGCGATGGGACTAGGATTCAAGGTAACCTAATTGTACAGTTTCCTGATAGGGCGAGCTAGTACCTGATTTCCAACGTCCTGAAGAGCACTCAAGAGGATGGTGTATTGGTACAAATTAGCAGTGAATTTTTAGATGAGGAATATATCTAGTGTGAAAATGTGAGGTTACAATGACTGAAAACAGTCTGCCACTGGCTGTGGGGCACAGGGATTGGGAAATTTTTGTTCAGCAGTAGGAGCATAAGCACATTCCTGTGTGATTGATTTCCTAATATTTTGCCAGTTCAGGAAGGTTTAAAGTAACATGATTTTGACTAATAGTAGCAAACCAGAGAAAGAGAACTCAAGTTTGGAATCTTTAGTGTACTGCATCTTGATTCTTAGCTCATCCTGAATCGCCTAGATCACCATAGTTATCAAGCCATCTTCCCTTCAATCTTATTCAATTAGACGTAGATCTAGTGGCAAGTGCAGGGCTGGATATGCTCATTTATTTAGTCATAATTAAACTGTCTTAGATTAGGGAAATACTTGCTAAGAACAAGCCAGAGAACAGACATAATTAACACTTTCATCTTTTCAGTTGGAAATTGTATCATAGCCCTTAGCACACAAAGCATTTGAAGAAGCATAACAAATTATATTTATGTATAAAGTCAAATTGTCGACTTTATGGTAACCAGGAGACTGTTTAGATTAGGTTATTGCAAATAGGGACTTAGGATATGGTATTTCTGTGCCTGCCTGAGTTTTAAATATTTTTAAATATTTTAAATAGTCAATGAGGAGTATTGAATCAAGTTTTTACAACTTTATATCTAAACTTTGATTCAAATTCACAGTTTTGTAATAGATACTTTCTTTGATCTTTTCATTGGTAATATAAAATTCACAAAGTTAAGTTTTAGTCCTACATATTTAAATGCCCCTTGGCTGGATTTACTTAATTAATTTAAGGTTTTTATTTTGGAATTTTAAAGAATTAGAACAACAATGAGCTAAAATTTACTGGAGGAGTCTGATAGCAAACTAATACTATAAGCATGGGGGGGGGAAATGTTTAAAATATCAGAAACACAGTTTCAAATCATTTTAGAAGCTTCCATTTAGGTAAAAAATTTAATATGTTGATTGAGTAGTATTTATATCTATTCACTAAAGCATAGTTTAGGACATATATAATATCCTAGCAGCATTTATTAATTTGATATAATCGCATACTCTCTGAATTTTAAAATAATAAGTCCATATGTCTATTTTTATTCAACATTTTGATTATTTCCTTCATTAGTCCAAAGTGGCATCCACTTTCATCATGCCACTCATTATCACCTGCAGAAATCCCCTGCTCCATTCAGGAGGATCTGATCACTTAGAACATCTTGCTTCTTTCATCACAGACCCCAGTAACATTGCTTGTTCTATATTCTTTTTTTGCCTTTTTAAAAAACACTTTATTAGCATAACTTAATCATACAAAGAGGTTTCATTATATTTCCATACATGCATATAATTTACTTTGATCAAATCCACCCCCTCAATTGCTATTTGTTAGCCTTTTCCCCTCATGAATTTTTTTTCATAATTTCAAAGATCTTAGCAACTTCAGCATACAATACTTTTCTTCATTAAGTTGAGAACTTTCACCTTTTCAATTAAAGGAAGAACTTTATAACTTTTCTTTGGCATATCCAAATTGCCAATTTTGCATTTTGGTGCCATTCTTAAGTAGAATAGGGTTTCTTAAAGAATTTCCCCAATTCAGTAAATAGCACAGTTATTCACTGAGTATTCCAGGACAAAAACTTTGGAATTATCTTTAATATGTCTTTGCTGTTTCATATCCTATACAAATCCAACATAATAGAGATTATGGCAGTTCTCAGTGTCAGAAATGATGGTGACTTGGATTAGAAGGTAGCTCTGATAATAAGGTAAAGTCATCAAATTCTGGATTCATTTTATGGGTAGGTGCCAATGGAACTTGATATTGGATTTGCATGGTATTTGAAACAACAAAGGTGTATCAAAGATAATTCCAAAGTTTTATCCTGAAAGACCACATGAACAACTGATATTTACTGACTTTGGGAAAATTTACTAAGATGTCAATCCAGGAGAAAAATACAAAAGTTCTCTTTTGGCCAAGTGGAACAGGATTGGAGAAAATAGCAACAACTCAGTTTTGATGATAGAGAGTTACTGCTGAGTGCATGTTTGTAGACACAAATGCTCAATCCTGTTCAACTCCTTCATTTTACAGATAAATACGTTAAACTTCAGAAGTCTGCTAACAGACACAGAGCAAATGGCTGAAGAACAACTAAAATCCAGCCTCATTTCACAAATCTTAGCATATATTGTTTCTAAACTTGCTTTGTTGACTTATAAAAATATTTGTTTAAATATATTGAGTATGTAGACTATGCCAGGTATTTGCTAAATGTTTAAGTTTTCTCTTGATTTTTTTTTTTAATAACACAAATTCCTTCCATACTTTTTTTTCGTCCATGACTGTTCTCTTTCCTTCTTGCTGTTCTGTTTAAGCAGACCTCTTTTTATACCCAGGTCAAGTCTCAACCCTTTTATGAAACTTCCTTACCATACTTCCATTACCCAGTAAACATTTTCTCCGAAAAACTACCTTCATGGTATAAGCCAAGTATATTGTTAAATGTCAAAGAATAATATTGGTGATGCTATTTAGTTTACCACGTATGTACCAAGTTTCCTTATTATTTGTGAGTTTCTGAGGGCTTTGTCTTATATTACTATTTGTCAAAGTACCTGGTAAGTGTTAAAGTACACGGTAAGTAATCAGTTAACATTGATTGAATCTGTACAGCTGAATATCAGTATAAAGTCCCAACAGTGTATTTTGCATGCATGGCACATAAAGGAAATGTGGAAGTCCAAATTTGGCCATAATGATGTACAGAGGAGAAAGGTGATGGAGAATCATGAGAGAGGGAGTACAATGAGCATCACTGCCGAACATTGAATTAGTACATAAAGAGTTCATATTACAAAGTACTGTGTATAATACTGTCCCTCTAACCTCAGAGATTTTTTTTCCAGAGAAAGAGATTATAGTTCTAAGTGATCTGCAAAATAATTGTGAAATAAGTTTAGCATTTTACATTACTAGGAAATCTCCCCTAGCCATTGGCACACATAGAAACAGGCGGTATGATGCACTGGAAAGAACATGTATTTCATAGTGGTTCAAAACTGTTCCCCCTTTCTTAGTTACATATCTTGGGGGGAGATATGTAACACCCTGGAGCCTCCATTACATCATTTAAAAACCTGAAGGATTGCTGTGTGGAGCTGAAATAACATATATAAAGCATCTGGCACCTAACAGCCAGCTTGTGAAAAGGTAGCTGCTTTGATAGTTTTCTCTGTATCACCTGTGGCATTTTCACATGGTGGTGGCATGTACACCTGTTAGTCTTTATCCACAGCTACAAAGACAGAAAGGCCAGAAAAAATTTGATATTGTACTGTGGTTTCTAATAGCAGAGCTTTGCACGCTCAGTATTCTGGGGAGATTTAGTGTTAATCTTAGCATGTGACTGAGCCATTAGCCGAAAATACAAGATCAATATGGGATCATGATTATGGGACCTTGCCTGGTCATTCTGATATGCAACAGCTATAAATCTTTCAGTAGGACTTTCTTATTTGCTAGTTGTCAATTTTTAAGCAACAGTTGAAATGGGTTACGTTGATTTATTCATCTAAAGAACATGATAAAGAATATCACTAAGTTTTAAAACTGATATCATAGCATTAGATATTTTAATGGCCAAACTAGCTATACCATGTCTAACCTGTCACTAGCTTTACTTTAAAACATCGTTTTTCCTTTTTTGGCTGTCCTGAGGGAAAACTTTCAGTTAAAAGTATCCAGACAAGCCTTCACTGTACCTTCTCTAGTTAAGTGTATAGATTAAACAAAATATGAAAAACTTGAGTTGATATATTTACTTCAACTATATTCACTTTTAGCTTTGAAGAAGATCTTTTCTTCTATAATAATGACAATGGAAATTCTGCTTCTAGAATCTAGGAACTCTTCCAACTTAGGGAAACAGAAATCAGAGGCAGAGCTGAATTTATAAGGAAGCTAATAAAGCTTATTAAGCTTCTGGACCCTGAACTTGCCTGAATCCCTTCTGGGCTCAGCCAGGGGCCCTGGCACATGTCCATATCGTCATATGCTTTTTCAAATTTGCCTAAGTAAAATATCTTTGGATTCTTTTACTTGTACTGAATCTCCCAAACTGAATATGCTTTGGGCTCAATAAAACATGATCTGTCTTTGACAGTGGACAAGCTATACAGGCCTCCCTAAACTTTTCCACTGTGCTTCAGATTTGGTTTGGTTCAGTATGGCTTGGATTATGTCAGTAACTGAGGCTTCTTCTTCTGCTATACAAAGATATTATTATAGTATTTTTATAACAATATTTGTTTTATGAACCAACTTGAGAATACTTCTGAGATTAAATCACATAATATATTTTGCAATATATTGTATAACAGTTCAATTAAGCAGTTTTAATTCCTTGTATGTTCTGTGATACTGAGTATCCTCTCTCATGATGATGTTATTAGAAAACAATTTCAGAATCACATTGAAATGTAAAAAGTACAGTTGAAAACATGTAATAACCTTTAGGCAAGATGCTTACCTATGTCTAAAATCTTTATTTCTTGGTGGAAGCAGATAAAAAAGGTAAAAAAAAAAAAAAGCAATGTTAGAAAAGGTTTCTAAAATATAATGAGATAAATGTTTGTATGGGAAATTGAGAATTTAAGCAGAAATATAACACTGACAATTTTATCAGGCCAAGGCTTATCAAATAACTGACAAGACAGGCTGATCTGATAATCACAGTTAAACAAAGCAGGATCACAGCATGCTGCTTTCATTATTGCCATCATGGCTAACGAATGGGTTGACCTAACTTGAACATCCCATACTGTAATATAAATCACAGGCTTAGTTCACTTACTATCACATCTGATATCAGAGGAAAATATTTTATGTCTCCATGGTAACCACTGTGAAATAAAAGAGGAATACCTATACCATAGGGTTATTCTAAAGAAAGTAAAAGTGACTTAAAAATCAGTTTTATCTTTGTAATGCACAGAAAATTCATTGGAATCAGTAAGATATTTTAAGTTAGGTGATTTTATACTCTTTTATACATTTATGATACTATATATGTGTTAAGAACTTAGTTAAGCTCTTTAAGAACTGACTTCTTTCAAGGGAGAGTTTTAAACATTTGGGAAGGTATGTTTAAATAAATAAATTACTGTATCACATTCAACATTTTTTAAAGGGCATCCCAAATTAAGGAAAGACATACCTTAGTTCTAAAACACTTGTTACATTTCCAGAAGGGAATATCCGCCGAACATAGTTGAAATCTCCTACATATAGACTGCCATCGATCCCACATGCTAGCGCGACAGGGGCCAATAGTTTATTCCCATCAGCTTGACCATTGCAACTTGGGCATGAGATGCTGCGTCTCCGTCCATTGCCCATGATACTACTGACAACTGGAGGCTGCTGGGAAATAAATTGGTTTTCCCCATTTCCCTTGTACAATATACCTGGAAGACAGAAAATGCATTTTTCTTATGTTAAGGTATAACAACGAAAAGTAAATAAGGTCACTATAGATCTAATTACAATTCAGTGCCTTTTAGATTTAGATTAGATTTCTATTGGGAAGAGCTCTATTCAATTACCAAGTGTAAAATACGATAACTAAAGTACATAGGATATTTTTAAAAAGTGCTATTATCAATTTAAAGAATGTCTGCTAAAAGGAACATAGGACTAAGAAGAAAAATGAAAACCCAAAATTTCAACATCAATAATTCTCAATCTTGGCTACACATTGGAACTGTGCTGGGGACCTATAAAAATATACTACTGATGCCTGGTTCTCACCTTGAGAGATTCTGATTTAATTGGTCTGGGTGCAGCCGCAGCATTCAAATTTTCAAAAACTCTCCAGGTGATCTTAATGTGTAGCCAAGTTTGAGAACCATGCTCTATATAATATTATTTAGGGAATAATGAGTTTGCTTAATTGTTAATCAATGCTGAAAGTATTACATATTATCCTGATTAATAAGAATGCACTCCAAGAATATAAATTTCTTTCTTATGAATTTATCATTAGTTAAAAATAATTTATGGAAAACAAAGTTAGAAAATATTTATGAAGATTCTAAAACTTAATTATAATAGAGGATTTTGTGTGTGTGTGTGTGTTAGGAATTGAATCCAGTGCCTCATATCTGCTAAGCATGCCCTCTATCACTGATGTATACTCCTGGGCAATAGAGGCCTATTTTAACTCTACTGTACTGTCAAACAATATTCTTATACTCTCACCTGATATAAGAATGTATCTACATGACATTATTTAAAATGTCAAATATAACAAAATTGTTCTGGAAGGCCAGTTTATTATTTAAAGTAAATTCTGCTTTATGGCATTGAAGTGCCAATAATTTTACAAAGACAAAATACCAGTGTAATTCTTTGTTGTCTTCAATGAAAATCTGGGAAAAAAAATTCCAAAGGAATATTGAATATTTTCAAAGTTAGAAACTTGATTTGAGTTGAGATTCTAACTTTACTTATTTTATCATTACCACATATAGATCAATGGCTTCATTTTGGCTTGATTTACACTGGATGGGCAGCTGCTCCTATTCCATGGATATTTTATGACACTTCTCAATGTCTTATTATCTGTATAAACCACCTGCTGCTTTGGCGTTAGAGCTGCATATATTTATTAGATGTTCTATGTTTCAAAGTAGTTCTCACAGCTAATGACTATATGTCTTAGCAGATATTCTATTAAAAGAATAATCTCATGAAAACTTGGGGAAGTATTTTTTCTTCCACTTTGGGATAATTTTAAAGGGAAGAAGTGATCAGAATAATTAGGCTCCCTTTTAGAGCTCAGCACATTTTAGGTGCATTCCGTGATTACTTTTTTTAATGCTTTGCTATTTTGGTGATGTAATAATCACAGCAAATTTACATAAAGAAATCAGGAAAGATAAAATAGGTTTATTCAAATTTAAGGAAAATAATTTAAATAAGGTTGGATCATAACAAGAGCTGAAATGCATTTTGCCTTGAATATTCAAAGAATACATTAATGATACCTAAGATTTTTCTTTCTGTGATTACGTTATTTGACAATTACGGAAGTATAATTTCCTATAAAAGCCAGTTCTATAATTTTCATCAGAAGAATCCTACAAGTCAGCCTAATGCTCTGCTATACCTGATTTATTCAGTCATTACTTTGAACGATTGGCCCTTCGTGATTCTCCTCTATTGTGACAGAATAGAATGATGAATATTGGAATATTTATTTCCGTGTTTCAAGATGACTGTATAAACACCTGTGACCGTCTACATTTTTGTCTTCTCTTCTTCTGTAATATATTTCTATAGCTCATCCACCATGTCATGATTACAAATCACTTTGTTTATTCAATTAGACACATGTCGCTTTAGAAAACCACTACTTGTCAAACCGTTCTTGGATAAAATTTGTTATCACAATCACTTCACCCTCTGTTAGGTTATTTCACATTTTAAAATAACTTATAACATTTTTGAAGGACACAATTTGGGTAGTTCAATTTTTACATCTGACCTGATATTTTAATGGTTTAGGATATATATGTTTGCATGTATATAAATGGAAAAAGAGACCTGTTGAAATTATTCCAGGAATGGGGGGATGAGAGATAAAGGAGAATGATGGAGGAGGTGAACCCAACCATGAAATAGTATAAGAACTTTTGTAAATGTCACAATGTACCCTAGTACAACAATAATAAAAAGTATGTGTCTGTATATATTTATTTTGTATATCCATACACAGACCATCTAGAAGTTTCCTAATCTACCTGAATATGATACTGAGTGTCAAGTATCCCAACAATGGTGAGTTAGAGATCTCCTGGAACTCTGCCTGTGCTCTCCCTATTGGTTTATAATCTCCTTAGTGAAATCCTATAGCTAATTGAGGGTCCCTCTCTTCATTTTGTTTATGGAGGACTTCTGAAGGAATTTCGAAATATGTGCAAACTGTGTGAAATATAACTTTAAATAGTTTAATCAAGAGCATCTATGAGCATGGTTGTCACATGGCTTTGCACTTTGAAAGACCATGAGTAAGTCTTGTGTTCTTTACATAACAGATTGAAACTACCATTGCTTCAGACAACATTGATTCAAGAGAAGCTCTGAGATAACATATGCAGAAGCCTTTGTGGTAGAGAGTCCACTTTCCCAATGTGTGTGCTGCATATGGCACTAGTTATGGGCTTAGCTTCCAACCTTCTGGGGTGCAAACTGAACTGCATCCTGATGTCCAGAACACAATTAGGAAAGGCAAAGAGCTTAACACTGTTGTGAACAATTAAAGGTAGGAAGGGTACTTCTGGTTTCTTTTTCTTACTACTGATTTGGTGAGTACTATCTCCTAGAGGTAAGGCACCAGAATTTTCAAATATTGGCTTGCAAACAGCTTTAGACCAAGTATATTTGGATAAATGCGTTCTCTCAGGGCTGGGCATGGTGAGCACTCCTGCAATCCCAGCTACTCTACAGACAGGAGAATTGCAGTTAGAGGCCAGCCCATGCAAAAGTTGGCGAGACCCTTTCTGAAAAACAAGTTGGGCATTGTGGTGCCCGCAGGAGGCAGAGGTGGGAAGATTATGGTCTGAGGCTGACCCAGGCAAAGGCATGAGACCCTATCTGAAAAACAAAAGCATAAAGGACTGGGGTGTGTGGCTCAAGTGCACTTGAGGTATCCTTTCCAATACTCACAACTTTTTCTTTTATAAAATGGAATGAACACTGAAGCAATATTAAATCAGAAAAAGTAGCCATTAGTCATAAATATTGAACTTATGTGCTCAATTTAACATTCAGAACCTTCCAAAAACCTCTACGAAGTTGAAAGGTAGCCAGATTTCCTCATCTGGCAATTGTACAGAAGAGGAGAAAATTAGGATGATATGGTTAAAGATAGGAGGCTAAAATAGGTTACCTTAAGGGTCTGTTTTTTTTTTTTTTGCATTTAACCAACAAAGTTTAATGTTTTTATTTTATTTTTTATTCCTTTTTATTCATATATTCATATGTGCATACATTGGGTCATTTCTCCCCCTCCCCCCACCCCCACTCTCTCCCCTCCATATCCACTTCGCTTCCAGGCAGAACCTGTTCGGCCCTTTTCTCCAATTTTGTTGAAGAGAAGAGAGACAAAGCGTTTTTATTAGTTGAGATAAGGATAGCTATATAGAGAGATTCCTAGCATTGCTTTTCTAGCAAATCACCTTTAAATTATCCGACATGCAGACAAATATGTGAGGAAAATGTCAGAAACACAATAAAGTCAATAGAAATTGTTGACTACAAGTAGTATTCTTTGTGAGAGGAAGCTGGTCATATTTTTCAAGTCATGTATCTCTTTTGGGCTGTGATATCTGAAACATGTTTCTCCAGAGCACATTTCCTTTTTTTTTTTTCTTTTATTATTCATATGTGTATACAAGGCTTGGTTCATTTCTCCCCCCTGTCCCCACCCCCTCCCTTACCACCCACTCCGCCCCCTCCCTCTCCCCCCCCAATACCCAGCAGAAACTATTTTGCCCTTATTTCTAATTTTGTTGTAGAGAGAGTATAAGCAATAATAGGAAGGAACAAGGGTTTTTGCTGGTTGAGATAAGGATAGCTATACAGGGCATTGACTCACATTGATTTCCTGTGCGTGGGTGTTACCTTCTAGGTTAATTCTTTTTGATCTAACCTTTTCTCTAGTACCTGTTCCCCTTTTCCTATTGGCCTCAGTTGCTTTAAGGTATCTGCTTTAGTTTCTCTGCGTTGAGGGCAACAAATGCTAGCTAGTTTTTTAGGTGTCTTACCTATCCTCACCCCTTCCTTGTGTGCTCTCGCTTTTATCATGCAGAGCACATTTCCTTATCATATTACCAGGTCTGCCATCAGTGATATCAAGTATTATTTCTACTTTTTGCTTTTTTTCCTCAGGTTGTTCATTTCTAATTTTTTCTCATGTTCACAAAGTCAAATGTATGTAACTATTTGAGTAAGAGATTTTTTTTCAAATACAGTCTAAGCAGAACTGAAAAAAAATCTAGATACTCAGAATACACTAATTATCTAAGAATTAAAAGTCTATTAGAAATATTTTGGTTAAGTCACATGGATTTTTATCTTTACTTAAAAAAGAAATTGCCTTGCCTCTATTTTTGGTAAAGCTTTCTAAAGCAATCAGTTCACATTCCTTGACTCATGTAGCATTAGACACTCGTAGATGACTGCGGTGAAGACTCCCACATAGAGACCTTCCATTGCAGCACCAATCACTTACAGTCTAGTGGAAAATTATCACAGTGACGCACATTCTAAAGCTCAGTAAGAGTATTATGCAGTTCCCACTTCAGGCTTTTATAGTCCTTAAAAATATGTCTTTATTATTATTTTTTTGGACAATTCTAATCCTACAGCATGTATAGGACGAAATGTTGCTATGTTCTAACCAGTGTGAGGTGGACAATATTAATTGTCTTTGAACAAGATCTCACCATTCTGAACATCCAGCACGTGATGTTTATCTAAGGTCCAGCCACCCATGTTGGAAGCATCTAATTCATAGCCTTGCAAAATGGCAGTCCTCTTTTCCCACAGAGTCAGGTCCAGACATGACTCATATTCATATCCAACTGACACTAGAATCAAAACAAATCACAGTTCATCTTCTCAAGTACAGCAGCAAATGTAATTTATTTCATTATTTTGAAAAAATGCTCTTTTCACAACTGAGTTCTGATACTGTATTTCCACTACTTATGTACAGTTTATTTTCTATAAAGAAGACTTGACCATATGAGTTTTTTAAAAAAAGATCTCCAAATGTTTTCTATGATTTAATAGAAAAAGAGCACTTTTTTTCTTACAAGGGGCTCACAGCACAAAATGAAGTTCAGATTGTGTGACTAGCTAAATAATTAGGTCAGATAAGGTAGCCCCAAATACTGATTAGATGATAACAACTAAAGATAGTGTCTGCTATTGGAATTATTTGAGCTGTTTAGTTTCCAAGAGCATTTAATGATGCAAAATACTGTAAGTAACATTCAACAGAACAGAAAAGACAGTCAGATTATGACATTATATTTACATATATCAGGAAGATACAAAACTAGCAGCAAATTAATATGAAAAATTCACAACTGAAAAACTTTTCAGGGCTCATAATGAAACGTGGATTTAAAAACTGAGAAAAAAGTAAAGGGAGAAGTAGCAACTAAATGATGATGCAAATAATTCAAGTATAAATTATATGTTAATTTCAGAATAGGTAATCTATTTTACTTTCAGGTAAAAACTAATAGAACCAAAAACATGTTGTCCTTATGTTTTTGATGAACCAATTTGAGCTTGAAGGGATCCCAACACGTCAAACTTTGATTACACTGTCCAGTCATTCAATGAAACATGGCTTGATGTTTTACAATGTTCTTTCACTGAACTGACTGGCCCTCTAGTCAAAAGAGCTGAAATAATGCTTAGATACAAATTTGGTCTGATAACTATCATGAGTTGAAACTACTGCAGTATCAAATACAGAAAAAGGATGATGAAAGCTAGGAAGGTAAATTTATAAAGAAAAGTACAAAAGAGAAAAGGGACACAGTAAGAAAATAAATATGAAAACAAGAAAAAAGAATATGACAACTAAAATTTTCAGAGCATTTGTCTAAGATATAATTTTAGAAAGAAAAAATGATACTTATTTTCTTCTCATTACATGAACTATATTACGTTTTGAAGGGTGGATCTAAACCAGCCAGCCTACAACTTCGCTACGATGACCTTATTGCAGCTTTATCTGTTTATTCATTGAGTTGCCACAGATTACAACCAATTTTATGATAGTTCTGACTTCAAGACACATTTTCAATGCAGAGGAGACAGACATGGAACTTACCAACAGCTTCAGACAGACCGTAGACCTTCTGATTATATGCATCTGTTTTATCCCATATGAAAGTATAGGCCAAGTTTGGTGAGGCAGGAAACCACTTTTGGAAGAGTCTCCCGACCACAGCTACCATCAGATGCACCTTCATCAGATTAAAGGGTATAACAGACTGGGTCATGGTGATCTTGAGAACTGATTTATACCCTGCAGCTCTGGAACTCAGGTAAGAAAGTTTCAAATCTGTTCCTGGGATTGTGGTTTCTTCATGGAGGACCTGGGTGTGGAGAAAGCAGAAGTATGCTTTCTGTGGTCATGTATGCCATATCTACTAGAGAAAATGTATTTGACAGACCTAGCAGAGTACCTAAAAGACACAGAAGAGGCACTCTTTACAAATAACACTCGAGCTGTTATCTTCTTGAATAATTAAAAATAACTCTGCTGCCAGCCCCATATTCTCCTCCTAAAAGCCTCTTGTCATTTATTCTTAGCTAATCATACCTCAGGTGCTACTCTTCATACAGGAGACACTGTGACTGTGCCATCAGGCTGACATGTACTGACTTGTTAGTTTGGTAGTCACGGCAGATTCTCACTGACTCATCTTTTACCTCAGTCACCCTGGAGATTAGAGCCAACATTTGCAAGCTGGTTAGCTCAGAACAGGGATGTGGTCTTGGCCAAAGATCTGGTCTACACTAGCTGGCTCCTTTAGGGATTAAACCTATGCTAGTACCTCATCAGCCTAGGTATAGGTCACTGCCTATGAAGATAGGAATGACAAAGCAAAACAAAACAAATCAATTCATCTGGGTTAAATAATAGCAAGTTCCATATCCATACCATGTTGAGAGGTAGTGTAACAACAGCATGTTCTCATACTTAAATACTGAGCTTATCATGCTCATTATTTGCTCATTATTGCTTATTATGATAAATGAAGCAATGTTTAAAGCTATATATAATTTTACCTGGAGAGCAACTAATATTTTTAATGCACACAGAAGATAATCAAAATATACTTTTTGACTTGAAACCAGACTGTAAAAAGTGAATTTTATTTGTATAAAGATTATCTCCTTTATATATATATTTAAATCATATCCTTAAACTCCACTGTTTAGCCTTCAGTGTGAAAAGCTCAATGAATATCAAGAAATTTGTAAAATGAGAAATATATTATGCCAAAACATTGTTTTAAAAAGTGTAGTTTGTATAGTATATAAAATTTTTCTAAAGAGTTCAGATTCTCTCTCCCATTGCTCTTATTAGTTTGATAAGTAATAACAGTTTTTCAAGACCTACTATATATATCGTAAAGTGCAAGAGTATCTATGTTCAAGAACCTATGCCAGGAGCTCATCAGTTTCTCTATTAAGAATTAAATCATATTCTTAAAGGTTTCCTCATATTGCCCCATGAGAGCTCATTATTTAGACACAAAGAGCTGGCTTTTTGTTAAAAGTCTTGAAATGGTGATTCAGTGTTCAGTAGTGTTTTGCCTCCTTCTAACACTTCTCACATAGAATAGTTAGGAATGATGTATACATATTTGTCACCTCCAAATTCTAATAACTTAAGTAAAAACCCCTGAAACTAAGAACAATGTAGTCTTAGACATAATCAAATGGTGGGAGATAGCATGAATGAATGTACTAAACAAACTTCCATTCTGGCCCATAAGTCAGTGCTGGCATAAGTGATGTGATGCACTGTAATAGATTAAGAAGGTGTTGCTATCATAGAGCCACCAATTTATTATAGCAGGGATTTTCCTCACCAATATGCTAACAGTCATAGAACTGTCTTATGCAAAATAATTTATGAACATACAGAAACTTTTTAGAGCTCTAACAGATCCAAGGGAGCTATGAAATTTAAGACTGACAGTACTTTTATATGACTGTACCTGTAGGGTAAAATATCAAGTTCCCAAAGGGAACTCGTTCTCCCATGATCAGGGTGAAATATCAGGGGTTAATTTGAAAAATAGATTTCTCTGTGTCTTGAGTGGCAAAGAAAATGTAAGGGATTGAGCTCTAAAATATACTTTAAGGAAATCTTTCATTAATATGCATTTCCTGTGACTTCTAGGACTTGCTTCTCTACTTCAAAATATCATGTTATTCCTAATTTTAATAACCGATTATTGTCTCTGTCATCATTAACCTCCTTCCATAGACCAAATATTTGTAATTCAGTTCATTAAAGCATGCATTTCTCCCATGTAATTTATCCATACCATGTTATATTGTATTATTAGGAAAAAGTATCCTGCCAAAATGAGAAAAATTATGCCTATTTTTCCCCAGTGACACCAGTTTTTAACCCCTTTCCTGACACCATTAAACACTCAAGAAACTATATCCTGACAATTTCATTTTCTAAAATCGTCATCTAATTTTGGTTCCTCTTCTCCAGTTCTACTATTTTTGAGACTGAGAGAAGCCCTCTCTCTGAGCTCTGGTCATGTATGGAAAAACAGTTGACAATAGCCTGTTCACTGATTTCATCTTCTGTCAATTACGCATTTTAAAAGCCCCTTGAGTTAGCATTAGAGAAATGCTGAAAACCAACCAACCCCCACCCCTTGAAAAAACCCAAACCCCATTAGCTTCTTAGTTATACAATGCCTAAGAAATTCAAGGTCTCCATTGATGGCATGTCAGGGCCATTCATAATCTGGCCCCAGGACCATGTTCTGCCTCTTTCCCCTTATACGCTCTACATTTACATCACTGTACAATTTTTATATAAGAGGACTTGCTGTGACCACCTCACTGTCGCCCACACATTTTCTTCAATCTGGATTATGCTTTTGACCCTTTCCTGGCTAATCCCTCTTTAAGGTCAACCCTCTGAGTGATGTCTTCTTTGGTTTACTCAGGAACTGACCTCTCTTTTGAACTTCCAGTTGTTCATTCAAAGTTCATCACCACATTTACAATGCAGAGTCCACATTTATTATTCTTTTTAGCCTAGTAGAGTACCATGTACATAATTGATCCTCAGTAAAATTTCACTAAATGCTTGCCTACTGTAGGATGGAATGGAAGAAAGTCTCCCTGTATTCATGGACTTGTTGGCTATTTGAAACCCACTGCAATGAGTAAATTTCACTAGAAATTTATCAAGCTATAAAGAGACTGCCTTTAGGTTAAGTCTCTTTAAGGTTAAGAAATTCAGAATTACTGCTGGATGGACTTGAGGAAGATGTACTTAACTTATTACATTGAAAAGGTTACAACGAAGTTCCTAAAGCTTCAACTCAAAGTCTGTGTGGCTGTTAAAATCACTTAGACACCACTTCTGAATAATATATTTGCCTGCAAGCCTTTTTGATTGTTTTTGTCACCTCTATCTACACTTTCCCTCTTCCCCCAGGGCATCTCAGTCCATGTTTTAAGAATATTTATATGCAGATTCCCTCCAAATTTGTATCTGTAGTTTCAACTCTTTCCTGGACTTACTTTTCTCTCAAAGTTCTTGCTTAAATGTCACATTGTCAAAGGGATCTTCTCAGACTACACTGTATAAAATCACACCTCCATCCACTTTACCCTGTTTAATTCTTTTTAAATATGTCTTAGCAAAACCTGAGACATTGATTGTTTAGTGTCTCTCCACTCTCAGTTGGTAAGTACATTGAGAGCAGGTATTTTATCTAGTTTACCACTTTGTTCCTAAATAACAAGCTTGGTACAGAATAGGTAGTCAACAAATATTTGCTGAATGAATGTGACAAAGCTGCTATGTGTGGTTGGACTTTAAAAACCATATATTTTTATTTAGCTATTTATGCATTATTATGGTACCTAGGGTCCTAGCTTTAAGATCTGGAAGCTGTTTCTAAATACGTGAAAGGAAAACTATCCTCAGATATTTAGTACATAAAATGAATAGTGAAGGTATGATTATTTCTTAAAAAGTTAGATTTTTCCCCACTGTGGGAAACAGTGGGGAACTAGAAATTATTAGCGCATATGACATACCAAGTTTTTTAGATACTATCTTGAGAAAATTAGTATTTTTTGGAAAAAAATTATCTTTCCAGAACATTTTTAAACTTAATTATGTTCTCTAACACACATACATCATGCTACGGAGTTATTTAGCATAGCATTGGAATCCTGTGATCCTTTAAAAAAAATTCTTCGGTAACTGGATGATCTAAAAATCTCTTATGTAAAAGTAATGCTTGCTATAGTATTTACCTGTGTCTCGGGAATGATGGGACTGTCTTCAGGAGAAGATCTGAAAAATGTGGATAAAGGTGATGACACAATGATAGGATTTGGCCTCACAAACCCACTCAGATCACAGCTGGGAATGTCATTCTCCTCTTTCTTCATGACAAGTGTATCCATTACATAAAAGACATTCCATGGAATCCACACAGTATGATACTGAGTGAGGAATGGGGATCGTTCGAATACCAAGGTTAGAGATGCCCCTCCATTTGCCACCAAGTCAAACCTAAGAAAAAACAAGATATACTGAGTGAATTGTCTGGATTCCATATAACTGTCAACTTTCAACTCCTTAAATTAATATGACTTATATGGAAAATAAGTTGTCCAAATTTTTATATGAAATATTTTCAAATCCACAGACATCTTAAAAGAATTATATAGTGAATACTTATATATCCTTTATCTATTCACTGATTTGGTAACATTTTTTCCAAATAGGCTTTCTATCTACTCTTTGGAACCATCTGAGCCTAATCTATAGACATTATGAAATATTACCCCTAAATATTTCAACATGATCTTCTAAGATAAAGAACATTCTCTGACAAAACCACAGTATTATATAATGCCTTAGGAAGTGAAATTAACTATGTGTGCTGGTGCATACTTTTAATCCTAACACTTAGGAAGCAGAGACAGGAGAATTATGAGTTCCAGGCAAGCCTGGGCTACATAGTGAGTTCCAAGGCAATTTGGGCTACATGGTAAAACCCTTTCTAAAACAAAACAAGACAAGACAAAACAAAACACACACTCACACAAAAAAAAATCCCAAGTTTTAAAGTACACGAGTAGATGACTTTAAATCCTGCCTTATATATTATTCCAGTTTAAGCGTTTCCACTTAAAAAGACAATAAAACATGACGGATGATGGAGGAATATCTAGTTTTATACTTAAAATACTTCAACCAGAGGTAGTGTGAAGGAACTAACTCACATTCCATCCTGGCGGGTAATAGTATATCCGTATTCTGGGTAATGGAAAAATGAGACATTTACTCCAATAAGTGGAGTTCCATCAGCAGTTAGTACTTGGCCTCTGATGACAGATGCAAGACTGTGGGAGAAGCAGAAGAATCTGAGTGAATACCTGTCTTCTCAGGTCCACATTATCATGATTTATAGATAATTCAGTCTAAGGATAAAATAACACTATTCACACACAATCAAGCGTTATTCACAAAAACCAGACCTGAAATAATCCCAAGACAATGCCCTTTTTAATTCAGTATAATTTACATTCTCCAAATGCCTTGTGTTTACCCTGGGTTTTTATTTGTTGAAATCTTTTTTGGAGCATTATCAAGATCAGTAATTTAGAGATGAATTTTTAAAATGATAAACTCTATGCTTTTTTCCTAAGTCATACATATGACTTACGTGAAGAAAAGTATACTTTCCAATTAATTCTGAGGCAATCTGTAAATCTGCAGGGACCAAGGAATACAAGATTTAAGGGGGCAATAAGGAACATTTGTGCAACAACTTTTAATCAACTGCTGGGTCTAACTGCATTAATGCTGTGAAATTACTGCAGACCCAGGAGTTCTAGTGTAAATCATCTTCTTCTGCTCAGTGAGACATGAGACACCTGCTTTCACTTACTGGTTTATTTTCAGGTCATTACTGCTCTGTAGAGCACCAAACAGCTTTTGCAATTTTCCTGCCACACTGTTAGCAGTTCCATTACATTAATTCATAATTTATATTATTTAGTGAGCTCAGCTAAAAAAAATGCACTTCTGATTTGCCTTTTGGGGTCTTTTCATTGCTTCTTTTGAAATGTTTCCAACTGCGCTAACAAAATCAACTTGTTAAATGAAGATTTATTGACTCCTTAATGGAATGTCCTGTTATGGCTCAGGTATTGGTATTGAAATTGACAATGTGAACTGTGTCAAAAATGCTTGAAATGCAAAGTTTGGTGAAGAATTTGCTGAAGGCAGAAAAACTGTGTTTAAAAAATAAACTACTTTCTTCAAATACACACTCATCAAGATTTCACATAAAGTGTGTATAGCTGTTGCTAAGACCCCTACAAATCCACATAAATAAATGATGCATTAACCTTTATTGAAAGGACTTTCTCCAGGTATCACATGGGTGCTATCAGATCCAATAAGAAAACTGATGCGATCATAGAAGGATTTGGCAGCTTGCTGAGATGGTGACTGTAAACCTTGGCTAATGATATCCTGAGGATCAGGCAATCCACGACAGTAGGGCTGATTTTGGCAAGAGCTCTGTAAGCAGCAGTCAGGATCCATACAGTCAATGAGTCCATCTGCAGAGACAGAAGCAAACCTTTAAGAGAATTCTTTTTATACTACAACTAGGATAACTTTTGTCTACTGGTTGGTTTGTTTCCTATCAAGTGATTTCCCACTCCTTATTTGATAGTAGTTTCTATCAGGCATACTTTTACTTTCTGAAACCAGATGAAATACAAATGCAATATGTGCATCAGCTTTCATAGAGAGTAAATATTTGGGTTGGAGATGGGTGAAAAAAATCATGTAACATTTACTCTGAGTAGGAAATAAAAATTACTGATTGGAACAACTTATTTGTATGAAGTAATATGGATTATTTATAAGTATCATTATTCAAACCTTCTGTATTTTACAGAAATGCACTAGGAGTTAATATAGTAAACTGGGTATGGTGAGGTGTACCTGTAACCCCATCTACACAGGAAGCTGCATGTTTGAGGATCACAGTCCAGGCAAGCCCAGGCAAAAACACAAGATGGTATTTGAAAAACAACTAATGCGTAAGTACTGGAGGTATGGCTCAAGTAGTAGGGTGCCTGCCTAGCAAGTGCAAGGCCCTGAGTTCAAATCAAAGGGGGTAAAAAGATGAGATTAGCCAACCATGTTTCAAGGAAATCGTTCCCCTAAGGAAGGTTAAAGTGTGTTCCAGATGAAATCAATGTATTTCCCACAAAGTAGCCTGAACTCCTATATGCAGGGATTAATCTAAAAAGTGGTAAATATAAATTGGCTATAATAGTGGAAGTTATAAGAAATCAGTAATGAAAAACTGACCTACAGTATTGGTGATATAAATGGAGTAATGGATAGAAGAATCTGCTAGTGCCTTCTCTAAGAACCTCAAAAGGCAACTACGTTCAATAGTCCATAGTCATGCGCTGGACAATGACATTTCAGTCAATGATGGCTGCGTGTAAGTCAGCGATACCATAAGATTATAACAGAGTCGAAAAATTCCTGTTGCCTAGTGATGTGGCCATAATAACACTGCAGTGTAGTGTCCTACTCATATGTTTGTGGTGATGTTGGTATAAACAAACGTACTGCACTGCCAGTCATAGGAAAGTATAACACATGCAATTATGAATAGTACATCCTACTTGACAATGACAATAACTGGTTGTGTTGTTGGTTTATGTATTTACTATGCTATAGTTTTGTCATTATTTTAGAGGTTACCCCTTCTACTTGTATAATGAAAAAGTTTACTATAAAAGTGTCCATGTTATGCTGGCAGCAGCCTCACATATCTCATGTTTATCATCTTTGTTGATTACATCAAAAGGCCATGTTAAGTGACTGATCTACACTATCTAGGTTTGTGTAAAACACTCCAATGTTCACACAGTGACGAAATTGCCTAGTGACGCAGTTCTCAGAATGGATCCCCAGCATTAAGTCATGCATGACTGTACTCACTTTGAAACATATCATCAGCCCAGAAGTGGATGAGTATCTTGGGTTGACAGTGTGATACATTGTCCTTTAAGGCTGTTATTTACTGACCAGTTGAATATATAAGTTTTGATCTGCTCCATTTTTTCAGTATAGATTAATGAAAATTAGTTTCCAAAGACTTTAATTACTCTTGGGAGAAATGAGAAGTGATAAGAAGTGATAAGGTCTCACTGTGACCCTGTTATGGTAAACTTAGCTGAAAATACTTAGATGACCTCTAAGTATACAAGTGTTTTTAAAAATATATTTTTAAAACATACTAGCCATTTATTTGCTTCAGGTCACACTTATGAATAGAGCATTAGTTTGTCCCTTCATTATCTGATAGCATAACGAGACAAAAGGAAATAGACAAAACTGAATTAATTATCAGTCTAGAAAACCGGTCACTCACACAGGTAAATAAGAAACGAGACAAGGAGGCCTGGGCCCTTTCCAACTCTCAGCCCATGTGTGTCTCCCCTTTCATGTCTGGTTCAGAAATGTACAAGTGATCTCATGTTTCTACCCACGGTGATTTTCAGGAAGTATCAGAAAAGAGATTCTTTGTCCTTCAGCCACATCTGCCCCATTGGATTTGAACACAGCTCTGAAGCTAGGGTTGCTGCAGCAATCTTGCTGCCACTGTTGAACATATCTGGGAATTAGGCCACCACAGAAAAGGCAGAGTTAAGTGCCCAAGGGTGGAAAAAAAACCCCAATAGGTCATATGCAGTGACATTCTTGGAGTTTTACAGTAAGCTGCACTTGATCTTCTGGATTTTTCAGTTATAGAAGCTAAGGTGTCCTCTTTTTTCCTGTTTGGGATGGATTTTCTGTCACTTGAAACTGAAAGAAGCCTAGCTTATCCAGAGAGAGTAACTAAAGATTTCTTCCCTATTTCCCTTGTAGTTGAGGTGAGGGGAAACCTGGAAGTGGACACTTGAATTAAACTTATGATGCTGGACTCTTCTTCACATTAATATTTTAATTAATTTTTTACCCACAATTTCTGTACACATAAAAATGTATGGGTCAGAATTTCTGCTAAGAGGTATTATTTATTTTTGCTTTATGATAGTTTACATTTTCATGTATAAGATCTTACACATTCCTAAATTAATGGGTTATTAATTATTTGAAGCTACATGTTTATTCCTTTGACAAAAATCTAAAATCATGTTTTAAGAAAATCAAATGAAACTTAGCTCTGAAATTTCATGAATTTAGTAAAATATTTCTTTCCTGGCCAAAAGGCCATGAAGATGAAAAATTTCAGACAGTTTTCAGTATTTCTAGTGGAAAAAATTAAACTATGATATAGTTTTATTTTTCATGAGAATATACAATAATAACATAAAACACTGTATTTTTTCTCCCATCTTTCTCAAAATAGAAGCATAGTTATTAAGACTTAAATTTTGAATGTAGTAGACTATTTACCTATTGATCTAATATCATTTCTGGCTTCAAAAACAATTGAAAATTTCCAAATCTTTCAATAGCAATTCATGACAGTTGAGATTTTATGGGGACTCTTTAATATGTACTTTCTGAGCTATTTCACTTAGGAATTCTTACTCAATGGATTTAAAAAATGGGTTATACATATACTTGGAAGAGAAATTTAACACAACAATTTAATATTCTTAAAGGATTTTTCCATATATTCATTCTTTAATATACATTGTAACTACTCACAAGCAAAAGTACTTTCAAATATTAATTTTAACTTCATTTATCTGGTAGATTAAAGGTTAAATGCTCCTCCCCCTACAATTCTCCCAGGGTCTTCCCTTAGGCAATATATGGTACAGTTGCCAAAGAAGAATGCTCAAATTTAGTCATTCATTTTTGTTAGTTTGTAAAAAGCAAATGTACATTTGGCAGGTAGTCTGTAGGTCATAAAACTGTATGAGATTGACACCTTCTGAACTAATCAGTTGGAAATGCATTTTTACAAGCCTCTCTGCTAACATCCATCAGAGAAAGAATCTCATTTTCAACAGTCAAGATGCAGGACACACTGTTTGTTATTTTTCTGCAGAGTTTATCAGTAACTTGCCTGGGCAAGTGACGGATGGTTATGAATCTGGCTTTCTATAACTTGAGAAAACATTTTTCATTCTTTGTCTGTACTCATATAGCAGCTAGGGCTATCTAGTACAACTAAGTTGATTACATACTTGCCCAAATGTATAGTGTAGCAAAACTGTCTTTGTGGAATAGCTTCTCAAAATCATTGAGATACCATTTTAGTCTTAGGTATATTAGGTTGGCTTACATTTATATTGGTATACAAGCCATATCTAAGGCATTAATCATAAAAAATCTAAAGAAAGTAAGAAATTTTCGAAACCCACTGAATAACAGCTTCAATTATTAAAAGTCTTTCTTCATGTTAGGCTTTGTAGTATAAGTGGTACTTAAGGTAGAGTAGGTATTATAGTTTATACTTCCCTCCACTCAATTCTTAGTATTATTGCTTTAGTTACCTTTTCTATACATATTTTTAAACATATTCTTGTCTTTCTTTAGGTGTATTCATTGGTTTTTAATAACAATGATTGGCAAACTTACTTTGTAGATGGCCAAATCATGAATATTTTAGGCTTTATGGGCCAAACAGTCTCTACTGATAACTACTGAACTCTGCCTTTTTGGTGTTAAAGGAGCTTTAGACAATATGTAATTGAATGAGTGTAGTGACTATGTACCAATAAAACTTAATTTACAAAATCAGGCTTTGGTCCAAGGGCCAACCCCTGGTCATGCTTCAAGGTTTCTACTTTGTCTTGTTTCTATTATTATTTACATTATTCTTGATATTTTTTCTGGAAAATTTAAGTAACACATATTTGGTTAGAATTATTAAAACCCTGACTCCAAGTCTTTTCTTAGGATACCCTTGATGCTGGCTTTGCTCAATGCTTCTTTTCTTCTTGTATGCATGAATATTTTAATTTGTTTTCAAAACCTATATTCACTAATGGATAAAAACCATGATTTTTCTTTTTTACTGAAAAGATAATTAATGTCTACCACCCTGTCCATAGTATTTGGATGCCCACTCTCACCCCAAGTCCCAAGTTAGAGTCAGAAATTCTGAGGCAATATATTTTACTTGTGGACTTAAGAATTTGAACAGTGTATAGGCATACCCCCATTACTCTTCAGTCATCATTCTGTAATATGCATGGATTCCTTCATGCCCTACTGAATCGGTATCATCTTTGATTTTCTATACAGTTTTGGTTTGTCTGTATCAGAACTCTCTTGGTGACTTTAGTTCCCATGTTCACATCATTTCACTGAGAGTATCATTTTCTTAACTACAGACTCTTAAACCACCTTCTAGATATTTCCACTTTGATATTACACAGGCATCTAAAACTTAACATGTCTAATAAGCCATAACATCTATGACCTTCTCCAAACAGAGTACTTCTCCTGTATTTCCTATTTCAGTGAATGGTTCCACCATGCACCTATCCCATTTCTACATCCAAAACAGAAGCTTGAAGGTCTTCTTTGACCTCTTTTCTCCCCTCTGTTTTCTCTTTATCAAATCAAT